CCTGGTAACTGTCTGTGTTTTTAGAGGTTATATGATAAACATTAATACGTCTAAAAACATAAAACTTCAAAAATAATATGAATAAGTCTAGGATATAACCTCTAAAAACACAGCAAACGCATAGACCATAACAACAGCTGGGCATGGAAAATGATGTGACGTAGTTTGCGGGCAGGTTGTCACAACAATGGATGTAGCAGTCCTTTTAGATTCTACTGTCCTTGATTTAAACCGTTTTGAATTACGTTTACCGGCTGTCACTGTCAACTAAAAATTTAATAAATGACAAGCAATACCAACCTAAATATTGTTGTCATTGTATATTTTTTATTCGTTTAAATGGACTAAAAAAAGTCTGCTAACATATTTTGGGATACTATTAACCACAAAGAATTATGTTTTTTTGGACTTAACGGTTTTTTATACTGTTTTAGATGGACTTACCATGTTTTTCCCTGTACATCTAAACTTATTTTGTGAATATCTCAAGACTAAACACGTTTTCATCTAAAACTCATTGATCATCTTGTAGGTTGTAATTTTTACTACAAGATTCAATCATTTAGATCAATTAATGAAATATTGGACCTATCACGTTTTTCCCGTGAACCCTTCATTTGTATAAGAGATGTTACGTTAAATCATTATATTTTGGTGTCTAGTATCCCCGTATTCGGATTTCCCATTTTTTCTCACTCACCCTGTATATCGTATTGGGATTGTTCCAATGAGGTTGCTAATGACAAACTTGATATAAATAAAGTTGTATCCAATGAAAAATGTTCTATAGGAGTTGAACTTGATTATTATCTGCAGTGTCCAACACCTAAAAGAGATACTAATTCCTGTGAATGGTGGAGTACTAAGTAGTAGGGTTTTAATATCCGGCCAAAGCCGGATATTTGATAACTATCCGGATAAATCCTAAAAACACGCAAAGCGTGAACATTGACACAGAAGGAGGAGAATAAAAGTTAACTTGGAATAAATTCACTAATCTCTCTTCTCTCTACGCCCAACTCTTCGTTTCCAAATTAATCCCTTGCCAACAAACTAATTTCTTTTTAGTTCTTTAACATCTTAGCAATCTTTAACGAAGCATTAGGTGCCAATATTATTAAATAATATAAATATATTACGGTAATTCTATAGAAACTATCATTTTTGCTGTTACCGGAAACAATTTCGACTAAAAAATTACTTTCTACAAATATCGTATTGTTTCTAGAAAAGTATAGACCAGCTATATTGAGTTCTTAAAGAGTTAATGAAATCATACTTATTATTATTAAATTATAGTAAAAAATCATGTCAAAATATCATTCCTCTGGCATGTTATAACTGGAGACGTCTAACATTATGTACATATTAGACAAAAATCTATTAACATTCTTCATTTGTAATTTTACATTTTGATTAAGCAAACCTGAACTTTCAGTAAAACTAATATAAAAATATGTTTCACTTTAAAACTCCCCTCAAAAAGATGATAGAAACTATGTTACCACCTTTAGCGGTCATTCCTCTGGCTCGCAAGAAGTACGTAAATAATATGATGGTAGATGGCGATATGTCTTCGCACGCAACCAGATATGCTTTTCCTAACCTAGTTCTTGCAGAGTGTCAGTAAGCAAATGTTGTCGAACTAAAACAATACGTGTTCTTTTTAACATTTTGTTCCCAAATTGTTAATGTCACACACAGATTGACCATTCCTCTGGAAGCCTGATGATGAGGGCCGATAATGCCACAGCGGGCTATTGCTGCAAGGCAAAGCGCCCCTC